GCCACACATCAGCACCACCCCCAGATCAAAACATCAAAACCAGGATTTAAAACTAAGCAGTCATGCTGCCATTAAAGCCATTCTTTGGCCAGGCACGATGGCACATGCCTATTAATTCCCGCACATGGGAGGCGAGGCAGAGGATCTGGAAAGCCCAAGGCCAACCTGTTCTACCTAACAGATTCCAGACAGGCTAAGCAGAAAGGGAGCCAACTCCCAGACTGTCCTCTGACCTCTGCTAGTGTACTGTGGCACCTGCCTCCTCCCACCAACCCCCACTAAATAAATAAAATGTAATAAAAAAAACTAGCTGGCTGATCCAATTGCAACTGACCTCTGCCCTTCACATGCACACACACAGGTGAACAAAATAAATTCCTGTTCCACACAATTTGGCATAAACCCATCTAAAACAGACAGGAGCCGACCCCTGCTTGAAATCCCCTTGGTGGCTCCCACACCTGCCACACATACCCTCTGGGAGCTGCGACCTCCTTTGCTGCCCTGGTCTGGCCCAGAGTCTGTCCCTGCTGCCGCACTCTTCCTCTTCCCAGTGCCCTGGAGCTGTTCTCTGCCAGAACTTCATTATGAGGTCTTTGCCCCCTCCCTTTGCTGTTAACTAGAGTGTTCTACCTCTACTCTCAGACCCATATGCCTGTAGCTCACACGAGATTCCCCTTTTCCCTTTATACATGTATGTCGGCCAGGCTGACCTCAAACTTGTGGTGATCCTCCTGCCTCTGTGGCCTGTGTGCTAGGACACAAACATTTACCACCACACGTGGCTTGTTCTGAGAGTCTTATTACATTGTAGCTTGCCTAGAACTTTCAATATTCCTGCCTCAGCTCCCCAAGCACTAGGATTCCAAGTATGCACCACCACGCCTGTATCCCCCATTCCTTTTCATTTTATGTGTATAGTGTTTTGCCTGTGCCTATATATGTGAATTGTATGTGTGCCTGATCCCTGCAGAAGCCAGAAAACAGTGTGGGATCCCCTGGAACTGGAATTACAGACTGGGACAGGAGAGACTCCCAAACAAGGCAAAATAAAAGAAACTACATTATAGAGCTGAGGATTAAATAAATTGATCCTAATTATCTGTTTAGCATGGTGCTTGACAACATGCTCAAACTATTTGGGAAACTGTTGTGTAACAGAGTTTTTTTTTTAACTATGTAAAGATGTGTTGTATTTGTTTATGCTGCATTTGTTTAACTATGTTTACATGTGTTGCTGCCTAAGGCACCTGATTGGTCTAATGAAAAGCTGAATGGCCAATAGCTAGGCAGAGGTCAAAGAGAAAGGGGGAGCCATCCAGCCAGTTTGGGTGGCAGCCAGCTAGGGACCAGCCAGGCAGGAAGCCGGATAGGAAAGCAGGATGGACAGTACTCAGATGAGGTAAATGCACCTTGCGGTAGAATACAGATTAATAGAAATTGGTTAATTTAAATTAAAAAAAAAGCTAGCTAGAAACAAGCCTAAGCCAAGGTTGAACATTCATAATTAATAGTAAGTCTCCACAGAGCGATTTGGGAGTGGTCCAAGAAAGCCTGCTACAGGAAATACTGCTTTTTTCTAACCTCACTGCTAGAATGGGATGCTACCATGGCAATTTCCCTACCAATGCTGTCTCATTGAGCGCAGTGGCATGGTACCTGGCAAATTCTGAACACTTAGCAAATGACCATTGTGCTGGACCACTGAAACCCTGCCTTTTTTTTTTTTTTTTTTTTTTTTTTCAAAACAGGGTTTCTCTGTATTGTTTTGGAGGCTGTCCTGGAACTCTTGTAGACCAGCCTGGCTTCGAACTCATGGAGATCCGCCTGCTTCTGTCTCCCTAGTGCTGGGATTGAAGGCCTGTGCCACCAACGCCCGGGCCCTGCCTTCCTTTCAAGACTCAGGCTTGTATGCCAGCACACACATTCAGTTGGATATTCTTTTCTCGGAGCTGAACTGCCTAGTCCCCCTGCCTGGCCTCGTATGCAGGGGCTCCTGGGAAGCTGACCTGCCTTCTAAGTTTTACTTCCCATTGTTGGATCATAAGCATGGCAGGTCCCACTTTATGCCACACAGCATCCTATTGTAGAGACCTCCCCTTCACTTTCTGGTTTCCTCCAGGGCAGCCCTAAGAGCTACTTGAGCAGGTGCAGCCTGCTATGTAGTCCTGGCTGGCCTAGAACTAGCTATGCAGACCATTCTTACCTGTGCCTTTGAGAACTGGATGACTGGCATGCGGCTGGCCTTCATTTCTGTGCAGGTACACTAAAGTCCATACTGGTGGATTAGTGACTTCACTCCTGCCACTCTGTACATACAGAGAGGTTCAGGTGACAGGTCTGTTATCACACTCATCACCCAGCTGTGTTACAGCAGTGGAAGAACCTTCACCCAACTCTTGGGAGACAGACTTCAGAAAACACCTGGCTGAATCAGAAGAGCACAGTGTGGCTGTGGCAGTATGCCTTCAACCTCAGCACACAGGAAGAGGGAGGCAGGAGTCAAGTGTGGGGCTAGCCTAGGTTACACAAGAAAAGTATGTGAGAAAAATGCTGGTTACAAAATTTGTTTACCTTGTTTGCTTGAGTCCTTGCACGAATAAAGAATAAATGGTAATAATTAAGATATTTGTGATAGAGTCTTGGAACTATGTGGACCAGGCTCACCTTGAACTCAGAGGTCTACCTGCCTCCACCTCCCAAGTGATGGGTTAAAAGCCCACACAACCACTTCAGATCCTCCATTTATTCCTTCATTTATTTAGAGACAGGTGTCACTAAATAATAGCCTTTGACTGGTCTCAAACTCCTAAGAGATCTATCTGCCTCTGTTTCCCAAGTGCTGAGTTTAAAGGCATGCACCACCACCATGCCAAAGTCCAACCCTATTTTAAAACAATTTTATTCCATGTGTGTGCCTGTACTCTGAGGAGTTAGGTCTCTGCCCCCACCTTTCTGTGGGTTCTGGGAGTTCACCAGGTTGTCAGGTTTGTGTAGCAAGTGTATTATGTAGAGCCATCTCCCCAGTCCCAAACAGCAATTTTTTTGGTCTGGTTTTTTTCTTTTTTTGGTAGTCAGGGTTTCTCTGTGTAGTTCTGGCAGTTCTGGAACTCACTATGTAGAGCAGGCAGGCTTTGAACTCATAGAGATCTGCCTACCTCTGCCTTCGGGAGTGCTGGGATTAAAGGTGTGTGCTATCATTGCCTTGCTCCAAATAGCAAATTTTAAAACTGATATGTAAGTATCCAAAATCATTTCTTGGTACCCAAGGATTTTCAAGGCTATAGTTTATAACTAAGGTCCAGGGACTCCTGAACAGCAGGGAGGTTATACCACCACAGCTAGAAACTAACACCAGCTCTTCCTTGATCTGTTGCTTTACAAGCAACTTATTTCCATACCTCAACTTCCTCACTTGTATGGAAATGAACCTGCACTGTCTGGATGCTGACAAAGCTTTCCCACTCCCCAGACACATGCATTTGGTGGACATTGACAAAAGGCTTGGAACTAAGAGATCTCATGGGCTCCATGCAATAGCACTATTGCTTACACCAGGAATACATAGCTTTCGGTTTATTCCTGTCAAAGTACTGAACTTTTTTTTTTTTTTTTTTTTTTTGGTTTTTCGAGACAGGGTTTCTCTGTGGCTTTGGAGGTTGTCCTGGAACTAGCTCTTGTAGACCAGGCTGGCCTCGAACTCGCAGAGATCCGCCTGCCTCTGCCTCCCAAGTGCTGGGATTAAAGGTGTGTGCCACCAACGCCCGGCCAGTACTGAACTTTTTTTTATTGTTTCAGCTACCTAATAAACTTTTTTTTGGCATGTGTTTTTGTTGTTGGGTATACACGTGTCATCCTGCATGTGACAGTGCCCTCTACTGGGTGCTGAGAATACGTTCTCTTCCCTGTTGTGGGTTCCAGGAATCAAACTCAGGCTTGGCTGCAAGTGCCCTTAACCAACTGGTTTTTGTTTTGAGACAGAGTCCTCCCACATAGCCTTAACATGTAACTCACTGTACCTAGCAGGCTGGCCACGAACATGTGATTCTTTGTATCTACTTCTGGAGTACTAGGTTTACAAGTAAGCACCATCATGTCTAAGTATGTTTTTCAAAATAGGATTTTATGTTTATGCAGCTGACAATGACCCTGGGACTCTTGATTCTCCTGCTTCCCAAGGGCTGGGATTTCGGGCATGTACCAGTGCACCAGCTCAGCACACTTTTTTAATGCTCTTTCACTAACTGGGCTCACTGTTCAGCAGGACAAACTTTTAGGATGCATCCCGTTTTCCTGGCTGAGTCAGAAGAGAAAGCCAGAAACATCTCAAGCAGTTACAAATTTACCTGGAAAGCTCCACTAAGAAAAACAATGTCATGGATACTGAGAGCAAGTCTCTTTCCTAGTGGACCACACCCACCCCAGAAAACTGGTGATTTCTCTCAGCTGTCTCCTGCACTTCCTGTAGACCAGGCTGGTGTCACACTCACAGATCCGCCTGCCTCCACCTCACTTCTCTTTAGTGGCTTTCAGTGGCAGGATTTGAGGAAGGCAGGTTAGGATATCATGTGGGGATAAGTCACTTGCCTTCTGCCAGCCAGGAACAGAAAGGCCAGCTTCTTTTGCTTATTACTAAGAACTTGCATCTCTCCCACAGACACAGAGCTCAGGAACAGAAACCGAAGGGGAAACGGAAGAACGGCTCCATTTCTGCTGAGCCTGGACTCAGCTTTGGGCAGCAGTACCCCATTTAATCAAGCACCCCAACCTCTCTTTTTAGAGGGTGCTGCATCTTCTGATTAGCTACAGAGGACGGTCAGTGGCTAGCAGAGGCTTGATCTGTGCACCAGCATTCCGGATCCCTCTCCCAAGTGACAGGTCAGACTGTCTACTCCAAGACAGCCCTGTGTTCCTTGCAAACTCAGGGACCACACCCATCTCCCCCTCAATCACATTCCACTCTCCCGAAACCCAATAAACACACCAACTGCTTCAGAGTATTTCTGGGTTTGATTTTTTCCATGGGTGGGTTTTTTTTTTGTTCTTATTTTATTTCAAATACTGAAAAAATTCCCCAGGATTCTGTGCGGGCTCCCCACTCTCTCCCCTCTCTCCATAGCAAACCTATTTCAAGGATAGCACTTTTCTTAAAGGAACAATTCACACTGAACCCTCAGCTTGCTCTGCAGAACCAGAGAAACTGTGTCTATTGTGATGAGCACAACTCCTTTTTCCTGACTCCAGGTCACTAGCCACATCCAAATACTGCCATCTCTCTTCAGAGTTGAACTCAAGCCCTTGTCATTGGTCTGTGAAAATCCCTTCACTTTACATCCATCCCAAACCTGTGGCTAAGGAGAAAGATAGGAAATTGTCTTTTTTTTACCAGGTATAAACCCTAGTCATTTTCCCCCACATCTTCCCCTCCAACCCCTCAACCCCACCCTTGAGATTTCAAATAAAATTTCTCTCAACAGTTATTTGGAAAAAAAGGTAAAACAAACAAACAAAAAAAGTTCAAGGTCTTGGTGCTCAGCCCAGTGGCTCCATGTGCTGGGACACCAGTGGGCAGGGACCTCTGCCTCTTTAGCCTGCGCCTGGGCCACCTCCTGACCCCTGGCTGCAAGAGCAGGGAGGGGCAGGAGCCAGCACAGGACCCCAAGTGGGCAGCGTCTCACGATCTGGTGGAGCCCCAGGCAGCATCATTCAACTTGGCCACTGTGGATGAACACAAAAAGAAACAAAAAACAAACAAACAAAAAAACACTGTCAAGTAAAAGGGGAAAACCTTTTGAATTCCATCCCAGTCTGGACCCCATGGTGTTTTCAAGTACTTCATTAGGCTACCTGACAAATACCTGAATATTAATCATAAGGAAGTTGAAGAAAATTTAGTCTTTTCCTATCCACAAACAGAACGTTTTCTGTCTTTTTGATGCACTCATGGAAAAGAGAAACAATTCTTGAGACATCAATTAGCTGGAGGTTTCTAGTGCAGGGGAGGGTGCCTGTCTCAGGAGCCATGCCAGTACAACCACTGGCAGCAGTGGGAAGGGAGCAGCCCGGGTCAGACCACACACTCCTAGAGGGACTCAATAGCTTGGGGTTAATCAAATGCAATTCCTTCTAAGAAACAAGCCTGAGAGGCTAAGCTTATTTGTTTCCTCAGCACATGAAAGAATGAGATTAACAGTCTGACTTCCTTCTCTTCTCCCGTCCCCAGCCTGTATGTGTCTACTAGCCACTGTATATGTTAATTACTGGAGGCTGAAAGTAGGGTCTCCTTCGTGACAGGAAAGCACTGTACATCTGAACTATATTCTCTAGCCCTTCCTTTGCTTTTTTATATTGAGACAGGGTCTTATTTAAATTCCCAAGGTCAGCTCTGAACTCACTCTGTAGCCCAGGCTAGCCTTGAAGTAGCAACGCCTCATGCCTCAGCTTTCTGAACAGCTGGGATTACACGCCAGCTTGATTTCCCAATTCCTCCTGTCTCTTCCTAAAAACCAGACTCACCATGAACACCAACCTCCAGGACACAAAACTGACCAATAGAGAAGGCAGCTGAGACAGAAGGGAAAAAGGTACAGAACTCGAGAAGATCGGAGATGAAGAAAACGTACAAAATTATATATATATTTATATATATAATAACATGACATATCTATGTACAACAAGGCTGGGACATTGAAGAAACTGTACAGTGATGTTCAGCATTGTCCCCTTCCCACACGGACTTTAGCTTAAGGATGACAGCATGAGAAAATGGAGCAAAAAAACACAGAAATTATATACAATTACAAATGAGAGTCAAGCAGTTTAGGGGCCAGGGAGACCAGGGATCCTGCTCTCTACACTCCTTCCTCACCAACCTACTCCTATCCAATCTGAACGAGAGCCAGAGACCAGAGTGGCCAGTCAGGAGGAGAGCATATTTACATGCTTTACCCTGACACACACAACAACAAACTCGCCAGACATTCTATGGGCACACTGGAATCTAACGGGGAGACAGACTGCATCTTTCTGCTCTTTTAAGCAGTTCTCACTCAGGTCCTCTCTGCCAAAAACAAGCAGGTGGCACTCAGTAAGATCCAGGCCAAACTGGTGATGACACAGCAAGCCAGGCTGCTGCCTCCCTCCCCACACCCTCAGCCTCCCCCAGTGAGTCATCTGCTAAGGACCAGCTGCTCCAGCTGGCAGGAGCACTGGCTTCTGGGGGCCGGCTCTGATCATCCCTTCCTCCTCCATGCCTGACGTATACCTAGCATCTGATTATGTCTTAAGCAAGAACGCCACGGGACTGAGGCTGTTTCCTCAGGCCCAGCCAATCTGCTGCCAGAGCAGTTTTGTAGCAGCTAGGGTCAACTGTAGACCCAGGAAAATGGGTAGAGTCAAAAAAACTTGCAGGACTAGCTTCTTCAGGTTTGTTCTCTCTTCCTTCCTCTTTCAAGAAGGCTATGACACCTATGAGATTCTGAAGGTATGGCCCTTAAACTCAAACTTTCTCTCTTCCCCTGTAGCACTCCTCCTGTCCCCTGTATTTCTGGCTTTGCAGAGCTGAGGCCTGGCAATGGGCCTGCCTCAGTTTTGGTTTTATGACGAGCAGCAGTTGCAGCAGGTGTAGGATTTTAGAGTAAGAATTAGCCTACACATGTTTCCTTCTCTTTAGAGATGAGGAACAGAATCCGGAGAGGTCACATGACCCAGGCAAGCTCGTGAACCAGTGCTGCTGCGCATGGGCAGAACGGCAGCCCAGGTATCCCGAGTCCTAAACTCTTCCCACTATCCCATAATACTTCCCAAAGCAGCATGCTGGAAGAGGAAAGACACCAATGTTTCATCAGACTTTTCATCCCTTGAGAGGCAGGGCATAGCTGGAGGGACACAGCAGAGGTTAGGTGGGCACTTTGTTTCAGGCAAGCAAATCCCTTCTCCTCTTTGAAGGTTCCCTAGACACCCACGATGGGAACACGAAGCACAGAGGCCTAAGGGACAACACACTTAGAAGCACAGAGAGCGTCTCCTTCACTCTACATTTCCAACACGTCAGCTCAGCCTTGGGACACTGAACCTGCCACACTGCTCCAAGACTCAGCCTGTCCAAGGACTTGCTCCTCCAAAAGGAAAACTCACACCTTCCACATTTCTCAGCACAGGAATAGCTGTAGCGCTATACAGTCTGCTCTTTCCTACTTCTGGGTCTCTACTGGGCTATAGTGAGGGTGTACAAGCTTCAATTTACCCAAAGAAATGAACTCACAACCCCTCCTCAACCTACTCTCCCAGCAGAATGTCTTCACTGAGCTCTGACTAGGTGCCCATTCCCTGCCTATTATATATAAAAGTCCAGTGGGTGAGGAAGGGGAAGAGAGGGGCCCAGGTTACCCCGCAAGCTTGCTGGTGACGAGCGAGGACTTTCTCTGGGGCAGGTCCTGTGGGGTGGGGATGTGGTCACCGGTCACCAGGTTCTTGTCTGGTCCTGCACTCGGCAGCTGCTTGTTCTTCATCTTGGCTTTGGCCATGTTGTAGTCTCCTGAGTCAAAGTACTTTTGCTAAGAGACAGGAGGGAGGCTGAGGTGAATGTGCAACTCTGGTGTTCTTCACAAGCAGAGACTCAGTCAGCATCAGCACAGGCTCTCATGCAACCCCGCTGTCTACGTTCCTCACGCACGCAGTCCCCATGACTCACTTGGACCGACATCTCCTAGCATGCTCTGATCTTGCCCTACAAGAAATGCGTACCTCTGCAGCTTAAGGGGCAGTTCTGCCCCTGAACTTGGCTGGCAGCTCCCACCCCTTGAAACTTCCTGGGACCACTTACTGCATTCACAACAGTCTCATGAGGCCCTTACTCAGGTGGCAAAGGGAAACAACTGACTAAGATTCAAAGAAGGGTCAGCCTGGGGCTACCTGCAACCGGAGCCTGTCTAAAACCAGCTCTCGGAGTTAGAAATGATTGTCTCAGACCAGGAATAGGAACTGGGCTTGCTCATGAGGCAGTGTGCTTTCCGGACTCCCACCACTCCCACACGTGTCCCATGGTGAGACAGTCTGCCTACGCCTGGCTTGCTGGAGGCGAAATAAGCTGTAAATCAGCACCACACCATCATCTGTGACTAAGACAGAGCACCTGGGATTCTCCAGAGAAGTCACTTCCCTCTCCATCCATCCACACATTCCAGCTCAATCCTTATAGTCTGTCTGTCAGTTGTGGTAGAGAGACACCCGACCAAGAGGTAGATGGGAAGGTCATTCTGGTTGGCTTGTTAAACTGCTGTGATTTTATAGGTTGAACCCAGACTGAACAAGTGCATTCCCCTGGGGCGCATTCCCCTGGGGTACATCCCTTATCATTCTATACATGAAAAGAACTGTGTGTTTTTTTATTAATTTCTTTTCTTTTTTTGAAGACAGGGTCTCACTATGTAGCTTCAGTTGTCCTAGAATTTACGATTAGACCTGGCTGGCCTCAATCTCACAAAGATCTGCCTGTTTCTACTTCCCCAGCGTTGGGATTAACGGCATGTACTTTTTTATTTTTAACCATTAAAAAAATTACTTATGCATGTACACTTGTCCATAGAAGCCAGAGAGGGGGTCAGGTCATCCTGGGGCTGAAGTCACAGGCAACTGCTGGCTGCCTTACATGGGTCTAGGGATGAAGCTTTGGCTCTCTGAAGAGTGGCAGCCTGCTCTCTAACTGCTCATACAACCCAGGTTTTTTGTTTTGTTTTTTGACACAGGGTTTCTCTGTAGCTTTGGAGCCTGTCCTGGAACTCACTCTATAGACCAGGCTGGTCTCAAACTCACAGATCTGCCTGCCTCTACCTCCTGAGTGCTGGGACTAAAGGTGTGAGCCACCAACTCCTGGCCAGCCTTCTTTTTCTCTTTTTAAAGGCAGGGTCTCATTTAGCCTAGGCTGTCCTGAAACTCAGCATGTAGATCATGCTGCTCTTGAATCTGTGGTAATCTTCCTGCTTCAGCTTAGGTACTGAGATCACACCCAGCTAATGTAAGTTTCTTGAGGGAGTACAGCTAATGTCTAATGCTAGTATCGGCAGTCTGAAGAAACCTACTGCTCAAGTTGAAGGTTTTGGATCTTCTGAAATGATTTGCTCTAAATTTGTCTCTAAGCCTTAATAAGGACACAGCCCTTAACCTCACCACCACTCAACCAGGCAAACGCACAGGCACAAAATTCACTTCCAGTCTCCAGCATCCTTCCTGTAGTCCTTGTCTTCCATCCACCCAAATGCCCAACATTAAGCCTTCATTTCCTATAACCAGAGATTCATAATAATGTTTTCCTCTTTTCAAGTTTCTAATTTATCCCTCCTAACACCCAATAACCAACCCTAAAGGAGGACATGCAGCAGACCCTCTCAGACTTTACCCAAGGTGCCACAGTAAAGGTGTCCCATACCCCTTTCTGGAGCCTCTTCATGAGAAAGTCGGAGCCTCCAGGCTTTTGTCCTAGGCTGGGATATTTGGCCTTTAGCTTTGCCTCCTCAGCTCTCTCAGGGAGAATACCTTCTTTCTCCTGTGTGTCCTGAAGAAAACAAGTCAACTGAAATTAAACACTGAAAAACAATGACTTCTAATACCTGATAACCTTTATATTATCATTTTTTTTCCTGGATATTCTATTAGCTTGTAAAGATGCCATCTCCACTCTGCTCTTAGTATGTTTCAAAGATTTACTTCTCTCATGTGTATGTGTCTTACATACAAGTATGTATGTGTATCACATGGATGCCTGGTGCCCTCAAGGTTTAGAAGAGGACATCAAATCTCCTAGCACTGGAACTATAGATGGTTGTGAGCCACCATGTGGGTGCTGGGAACCAGACCCAGGCCCTCTGCAGAGCAACAAGTACAGCCAGGCAGTGATGGCGAACACCTTTAATCCCAGCACTTGGAAGGCAGAGGCAGGTGGATCTTTAAGTTCAAGGGCAGCCTCGGCTACAGAGCAAGTTCCAGACAGCCAGGGCTACACAGAGAAACCCTATCTCAAACAAACAAACAAAGATCAACAAGTGCTCTTAACTACTGAGCCATCTTTCTAGCTCCACAGATCTTAAAGTTAGACCTTTGTTCAATTCCCTAAGGTTCAAGGTAACCATATCTAGTGAAAAATACAAGCTAGTTCTTACACTACACCCAGGGAGTCACCCCAGTGACCTGTGAGTACTAGGCTAAAGGTAATATCTAAACATGATACCTGAATCATAGAGCTTACTCAGCACTGACAGCAGGCAAGACACAAAATGAACTGGGCAGGCCTTTTACCAATACCAGGTAAGTAGGAGAGTCTCGGGCTGTCCTACAGGTCAAAGGAGCTAAGTCTCCTGAGAGGCTCCCTCCTCATTCAGACTCTAAGAAGCCATCTGGTCTCACTGTGGAGGATGCTAGGCATGTGGTCTAGTCCAAAGATATCCATCTGAGTAATCCACTTCCATAAATGTAGGCAGGCAAGCGGTAAACAGTTAACATGACATTAGTTTTAACCTTCAGAAAATAAGAAACTAGCTCACTGTGGTATTCATATGTCAGTCTCATAAAAAGAAATAAATAAAAAGATTAATGCCTACCTTAGTGGGGTAGGTGATAAAATCTAGGGAAACATCAAAGCTCAAATTGTTTACAGAGCTTCTCACCACAGGGTCTCACGATGTAGCCCTAGTTAGCCTGGAACTCTCTATGTACACCAAGCTGGCCTTTAATTCAGATTTTCCTGTCTCTGCCTCCCTAGCGCTGGATTTAAAATGTGTGTTACTGCCCCTGGTTGGTCTCTTGCTTCTTGTGGGTACATCTATTGTTTATTCACCTGGAACTTGCGGCAACCTTCTGCCGCAGCTTCTGGAATGCTGGAATCACAAGCCTTTGGGTTTGTCACACTTGGCTGCCTTCTTTTTCAGTACTGGGCCCAAAAGCCTCCCTATGCTAACAAAACAGTTTACCCCTTACTTATAGTCCCAGCTTCCCTTGCTGATGTTTGTTTTGGTTTTGCTTATCTGTGTATCCCTGGCTGTCCTGAATGAGCGATGTTGACCAAGCTGGCCTCTTTGAACTCAGAGATCCGCCTGCCTCTGCCTCTCGAGTTAAAGGCGTGCACCATCATCACCCGGCTAGTGGATTTTCTCTTGACAATCAGGTACTGATATAACATGAGGTGTGTTTAACGAATCCTTGAGTTAGTGTTAAGAACTCAAACACAGAACTGGAGAAGGGGGTTAGTTGGCATTAGTGTTTTCATTATGCAATGGTGGGTAAACTATATCCCACTGAGGAGGAATTCAAGGGGATCTGCAAGTGACCGACGGTGAACAACGAACCTTTCCTATCAAAATAGGTCTGAGGAAGGCTGCCACCTCAACTTATCCAAGGTAATGATTATTCTTCCCCCTCCCCCAATTCTGGTTTATTTTAACGTCTTCATCTTAACCGGTATCTTTCTGAGGATGAAGGATGAGCTCCAGTCTGGTGGTCAGGTCACTTATCTCTACTAACCAAACAGCCCGTTAGTACCCCAGGACCACCAACCAGCCCCCTTTCATTCGCCTCATCTTTCCAAACACCCGCCCACGCCAGAGCTCAGCCAATTACAGAGCAGCTTCCACAGACTGACTAAAGCTTACTGGCCAATAAGGAAGGGGATCCCTCAGAATGACAACCGGCTTGACTAATCCACATCAGAGCACCAGGCCGCGCCGAAATGCAGCCTGTGCGACATAAGCAGTAGCCAACCCCCACGGAGCTCGAGGCAGAGGCGGCCAATCAGCGGCAGCGGGGGCGGATCCCGCCCGCGCGGCCACCCCCGTCCTCCTTCCTCTCACCTGCTTCTCCTCGCCAGTCTCCTCCGCAGGGTTCTCTTCTTCTTGTTTCTGGGACATGGCAGGACCGGGACTGTGCAACGCAGGGCCCGGGAAGTCAGCCGGAAAAGGGAAAGGGGAGGGGAAACGGGGACAACCTGAGCTGCTGCTTCGGCTCCTGTCACTATGGTTGCTCAGTCAAAATGGCGGCCAGAGTCCGTGACGTTGAGACCGCCCCCTCCTATGGGAGCCAATGAGAGTGGGCAATGACGTAACGACGCACCAATAAGCGTTGGTTGGAGGTGGGTGGGGGAATCAGAGCAGATAGGCAAGCTAGAACGCCACTTGGGAGAGAGCAAGCCGCAAGAGCCAATTAGAAACCTGCAGGGAGCTTAGGGGCAGGACCGCTAGGTTTGGTATTTTAGCTTCTTGAGTGGGCAGAAGCTTCCTGGGCTGGTTTCCGAAAGTCAAACTGGAGGGCCAACATGGAAACTCTGGTGCAAAGGATTAAGCTTTGAGCGGTGTTAACGAAGGAAGTTTCAGACGGCCAGAAATAAAAATTGGAGGACAAACTGATAATTCAGCAGTTTTCCGGGACTGAGTGCTAGCTTGTACCAGACTGGCTTGTATGGCTTTCGTTCTACACTTTAGTCCTTATGTAGGCATTATAATTGTCATTCTGTGGCCCGGTGGTGGCGCACATCTTTAATCCCAGCGCTTGGGAGGCAGAGGCAGGCGGACCTCGTAAGAGTTCAAGGCTAGGCTGGTCTACATAGCAGGTTCCAGGACAGCAGAAAAACCCTGTCTCGAAAAAACAAAACCAACCAAACAAACACAAAAAAGTCATTCTGTAGAGATGTAAATCCTTGAAATTAGGAGTGCAGTCCCAGGTGTATGGTAAATATTTAGCACACATACCAAATACCTGTTGTAAGCATTATGGTAGCTCTGATGGAAAGGTATTCTGGCACTCCGGAGCCAAAGACTACTGAGAGTTTCAGCTCGGATGGAAAAGTATTCTGGCACTCAGGAGCCAAGGAGTACCACAGGTCACAGTAAGTGTTGCAGCTTACAGCTCTGCTCAGACAGGGGAGGGCTTCAGCAGCCAAGTTGTTATAGTTTGGCTCCAGTCTCCCAGAGTGTAGTATAACAACTCCACTTCGCTAGGGGAAGGTTTCCCTCGGTAGGAGTGTTAGAGCCCTGCTCTGCTTCTCTCTACCCAGGCTGTCTCTGGAAAAAAGTTGCTTCTCTCCTCTTCTCCATTCAGGCGAAGAAAGGTCTCATCCAAACTTCACTCAAGAGACTTATTGGGAGGGAAGAATCCAGAAGAGTGGCTGCCTCTGCCAGGGTGGAAGAGGACAGCCACAAGCAGAACAGGTATAGGACTTCTTAGAGGCAGAGTTTTTCCAGGGAAGAGATTTCCAGGGTGGGGATTGTTCAGATTTCAATCCCTGAGCTCAGATTGGCTAGATCTCAAGCTCAGAGATTTATTGGTGTTCTGCTTAGGTTCAGGGTCAGATTTGGCTCTGGTTTCAGGGCCAAAGTGTGTTTCTTTCTCTGGTCCTTTTTAATCCCTTTGACTCTAATTTTAGGGCTAGGGTTTATTTCTTTCACTGACTCCAATTCTAGGGCCAAAGTGTGTTTCAGAGTCAGAGTCAGGGTGTATTTCTTTGGCTCTGGTTGCAGAGCCAAAGTGTGTTTCTTTGGCTCTGCTCAGGGTTTTTTGTTTTTTTGTTTTTGTTTTTTCGAGACCGGGTTTCTCTGTATTGTTTTGGAGGCTGTCCTGGAACTAGCTCTGTAGACCAGGCTGCCCTCGAACTCATAGAGATCTGCCTGCCTCTGCCTCCCAAGTGCTGGGATTAAAGGCGTGCCGTGCCCCACCAACGCCCGGCTTCAGGGTTTTTTTGTTTTGTTTTGTTTGTTTGTTTTTGACTGGCCCCTTTCCCCTACACCTGTTAATGTAAACAGAATCATAGTTCAACAATAGTTCTTAACCTGTGTGGTGGTTCTTGTCTGTAATACCCACACAAAGGATACTGAAGCAGGAGGATCTCCTGAGTTTGAGGCTAACTTAGACTACACAGTGTGACTTTGTCTAAAAAACCAAAAGTAACCAAAGAAATAGAATAGTTCTTGAGAATCTGTCAGTAGATAGTACTATATTATTTTATAGGAATATATACATAAGGCAGCCTCTGCCCTTCAAAGCATTTTAATTCTCAAGATTAAGTCTTCTGAGAGTATTAGTAAAAAAGTATTACATATTTATATTTTGAATAATTGGTCTAACTGTAGGATGACTAGGGCCAAGGAAAATCATCCTGACCCTGACTTGGGAAACAAGGATTGAAATTCCACCAATCCCTGAGGTCCCTGAGCACAAAACTCCACCAATCCCGGAGCACAAACCCCAGCAATCCCAAGCCACCTGGAAAACTCCACTGCTGCCCAAGGAACCCTTTGGAAGCTCTGTGCCCAGTTCAGCTTGCTGCTTCACCATCCTGTAGGCACTCACCCTCCTGGGTTCTTCTGCCCCAATAAATCTGCTGAATGAGCTTTGGGTGATGACCTCCATTTGTAGGAGTGGAATGAAACAGGAGTTGAGTGAACCAGAAAAGTAACAACTTTCCCCGGAGTTCAAGGAAGTACAAGCAGAGCAAAGCAGAGCTGTAACTTCGCTGAGGAAGCCCTCCCCTTGCCGAGCAGAGTTGTTACACTGGGTAAACCTTTGCCTGAGCAGGGCTGCTGCTACTCTTAAGGTGACTTTCTGGTATTCCTTGGCTCCCGACCAACACGATACCTTTCATCGGAGCTGCAATGCTTACACTAACAGCTGGGCATTAGACCACACCTGTGATTCTAGCACTTGGGAGGCATAGGCAGGGAGATCAGGAGTTTAAGGCCATCTTTGGCTACATAGTGAATTCAAAGCCAGCCAGAGACCCTGCCACAAAACAGGAAAAGAAACAAACAAGGAATAATGGCTACAGGCATTGTCTTGACAGTAAAACCCCACTGTTCTCTTGTTATACACTAAATTTCCAAAAAACAAAGTCTATCCAGTAACTCCACTGCCAGCTTCACTTTTTCTTTTTTGACTTTCCTCTCTCCTTGCCATCCAGACAGGGTTTTTCTGTGTAGCCCTGGCTGTACTTGAACTCACTATGACCAGCCTGGCCTCAAACTCAGAGATCCACCTGCCTCTGCCTCCTGAGTGCTGGTATTAAAGACCCACTTTTTCTTTTTCTGAAAGTGGATCTCACTGTATAGCTCTGACTGGCCTTTAACTCACTATGTAGACAGACTAGACTGGCTTTGAACCCCTAGAGAGCCACTTGCCTCTGACTCCTGAGTGTTGGGATTTAAGGCATGTCACAACAAATTGTTTTTGGTAACTTCTTGTGACAGATAGTCTTGGGAGCTACTTGTTCATTTGTCATAGCATTAGGTTTATTTCTCTGAGAAACACTGGAACACACAGATTATTTCTTTCTTTTCTTTTTTTGGTTTTACGAGACAGGGTTTCTCTGTATTGTTTTGGAGGCTGTCAGACCAGCCCGGCCTCAAACTCACAGAGATCCGCCTGCCTCTGCCTCCCGAGTGCTGGGATTAAAAGCGTGCGCCACCACTGGCACACACAGATTATTTCTATACAAAGCAAAGTCTGATAAGCATAATAGAAATGTTTATAAAGCTCTGTAGGGGCCTGGAGAGATGGCTCGGAGTTTAAGAGTACTGACTGCTCTTCCAGAGGTCCTGAGTTCAATTCCCAGCAACCCCATGGTGGCTCACAACCATCTATCATGAGATCTGGCGTATAGGCATACATATATACAGACAGAACACTGTATATGTAATAAAAATAAATAAAAAATCCTTTAAAAAAAGCTCTGTAGGAAGTTTAAAAAGATCCACAGGCAGCATAAGGTTAAAAAAAAAGTGTTCTTGACAAAGATCACTTAGAAATACCATACCAAATTAGTGAGAGGCTTTCTTTTTTTTTTTTTATAGGCAACAGATAATCACACTTTATCAAAAGCCAGAAATAGGGGAAAAATTCATACACAAAACCACAACCAAAAACAAATCCACAAAAAAGAAGAATTAATAATCAATGGTCATTAATATCTCCCAATATCAATGGTCTTTTTTTTTTTTCAGTTTAAATTTAGATAAGAAACAAGCTTGCTTCACAAGTCAGTTCCAGGTCCCTCTCCCTTTCCCTCCCCTCCTCCCATGCCCTCCCCCCAACCCCCCCCATTATCCCCTCATTTCCCCAGGGAGGGTGAGGCCCTCCATGGGGGTGTCCATAGTCTGTCTTTTCATATAGGGCAGGGCCTAGACCCTTCCCCAAGAGTTCAGTGTGAGAGTGCACCTCACATTGTTGGATGGGAGTCCAAAGTCCGTGTGTATACTCGGGATGGGTACTGATCTGCTGCCCAAGGCTCAATAGATTACCTAGGCCTCCTCACTGACACTCACATTCAGGGGTCTTGATCAGTCCCATGCTGGATTCCCAGGCTGATGCCTGGGATTCAAGAGTTAACCTTTGTCAGGTCAGCTGTTTCTGGGGGTTAAACCAGCCCAGTCTTAATCCCTTTGGTCATCAGTCCTCCTCTCTGTTACTGGCTTTCTTGAGTTCAGCTCAGTACTTAACCGAGGGAGTCTGCCTCTTCTTCGATCAGCCACTAAATGAAGTTTCTGTGAGAGGCTTTCTTAATCGAATGAGAAGCAGAACTGATGATCTTCAGCAGGGTTAATTTGTTGGTGATGAATACAAATGTTCAGAAATTTAGGCTGCAAGGCACTAGAGAGGGGCCTACTGCCATCATTAGGTGAGAGAATTAGGTGAGAGACCTAGAAATGTGGTTAAGAGCAAAACAGAGCTGCACGCATGCAGCCCAGTGGTAGAGCACTTGCCTAGCATACATGAAGCCCCAATCTCAGTACTGCATGGGGTGGGGGTACAGAGAAGAGAAATTAAGGAAAATAAAAGAAAATACAAAACTAAACCTAATCAACAGTACGTGAGAAGCTGGATCTGGTACAGGAGGGCTCTAAGGTCAGCAACTCAGGAGGCTCAAACAGGAGAATTACAAATTCAAAGCCAACCCGGGAAACTTAGGCCCTGTCTTTAAAAGCATTTTAAAAAGATAAATAATAATGGGGAGAGGCCTGGAGTTAAGAATGCTGGTAGCTCTTGTAGAGGATACAGGTTTGGTTCTCCACACCTACAAGATGTACAACCATCTGGAACTCCAGTTCCTGGGGATCTGAGGCCCTCTTCTGGTCTCCGCTGGAATTATACCAATGTGGTACACATATAGACAAAACATTCATAGACATAAAATAATAATTTTTGGGGGGACAGGGTTTCCCTGTGTAGCCCTGGCTGTTCGGGAGCTCACTTTGTAGAACAGGCTGGCCTTGACCTCACAGAGATCAGCTTGTTGGGATTAAAAGCTTGTGCCATGACTGCCCAGCTAAAATAAAAGATTAAGATTATAAAGAGGGTCTGGGAATCAATGGCCGCATGTGTGAGTATGCATGTATATGCTTTATGCTTTATTAGTTTAGCAGATTGAATACAGGGATGGGAAAGCTATGTTTCTCCAATTGACTATTTGTAGAAGCAGTATGTTAAAAAACAAGGAACCAGGACCAGAGAAATGGCTCAGCAGATAAAGGCACTTGTGGCCAAACCTGATGATGGGAACTCAACCTAAGGGACTCATAAGGTATTAGGGGAGAATCGGTTCCCACATGCTTCTTTTTTTTTTTTTTTCAAGACAGGGTTTCTCTGCATAGCCTCAGCTGTCCTGGAACTCATTCTGTAGACCAGGCTGGCCTCAAACTCAGAGATCCACCTGCCCTGCCTCCTTCCTGAGTGCTGGGATTAACGGTGTGTGCCACTGCCCGGCCCACATGCTTCATTTTACATAGCAAAGTATAGCCACTCTAAGGGAGGGAAGAACAATAAGCCAATCATAGGCACTGTTACATTTCTATGAGCTAATGGTTACCGCTGGTTGTTACATTAGCTATCAAGTGTACTGTTAGGTTCATCTCTTAAACTCTGTGTCGTTTGCAATGCAGTCACAGAAGTTGTTCCCATTCTCTTCAATGGTAACATGGTATTACTGAGTAACTTACTTTGGATGAGATGGAGACCCTACTGGCGTGTGAGCTGGAGCCCAGGTCAGCCCTGCTGTGCCCTGTCAATACACACCACAATTAATGAAGTCATAAACCATGGATAGAGAGACCAAAGGCATAACTATTCATCTTTATTATACAGAAATGTGACAGCAATTATACACGAAATGAGTGTTTGGCAGTGAACATCACACAGATTTGAAGTGAAGACATCCTCATTTTATGGACATATAAAAATAAACACTGAGAGTTGCAAGAAAGAACTCAACTTCTATTCCCCCAATCGAGCTGAAGCTTTCCACAGGAAAACCTGGTTTCAATTCATGCCGAATTGTTCCAATGGGAAGACAAGCCAAGCCACTAGATAGCACATGGGTTGGCTTTTGTACTTCTAGAGAGCCAGGCCAAGGCCCTACTTGCTTCTCAAATTACAATTTATATCTCAACTTATCTACGATACATATGAAATGAAAACAATGATGAAGAATTGGAGAATGTCCATGGATCTAGGTAGGTTCAGGGGAGTGGATGAAACTAGAGCAATTTACTTCTGATGAGCAGGATTTGGTATGAGTTCAAGTCATCTCTATTGGCTGTGTGGCAGCCTGTTTCTCCCCACCAGTCAACAGGGTACTTGAAATCAACACAAGCAGTACTGACCTATTCAGATCCCCTAAACCTAGCCTTATATCAGCTGCCATTGACACTCAACTACCCATCTAAATAGGATCTCTTCTACCAAAGTCTCTTTTCATCCTCACTACTAAAGCAAAAACATTTAAAGAGATTTGGCCAGAATGATGGTTGTGTTGAAAGAAGACACAATTTGGAGGGTATCTGTAGATTAAATATAGACAGAATTACTGTCGAAGCCCTTAAATATGGTGAGAATTCATCAATTTATATAGGAAATAAAAATGGAGATTGCGAAGATATGGAGTTTGGCTACATTTTCTGGACTCAGTGCTGTTATTTGGAAATTGAAATTTACAATTCCCTTAATTTAATCAAAGTAAAGACATTTGAAGTAGTCTGGAGCAAACAAGACAGTCACATGATAAAGGATGAAAACTCTTTAATTTTTGAGTGAGAGATGGTCTCATATAGCCCTGGTTAGCCTTGAATTTACTTATCTAGCTGGGTTGACCTTCAGCTCCAATCCTACTGCCACTATCTCCCAAGTGCTAGGATGACAGATGTGTCCCCCAACACCTGGCTTCAAAGATGTGAATTGTGTTGCCTCCCCTTACAAGTTCTAATGCTGGCTGAATGAAGGAGGTGACTGAGGTACATTGCTCTTTAAATTCACACTTTGTCTTAACGCTTAACACTTATGAAAGCAGGGCAGTGCTAAAATGGAGTGTGGAATATACTCTGATTCTACAACTATGGGACTAAGGTCATCAAATGTGGAGTGTTTTCATTAGATAAGGATGAAAAAAATCACAGGCAGGAGGTACAATCTCAGGGACCATTTACTCCAAAGATCAGTCTTTTTCTACTGCCCTCATTCAAAGAGACAGTGACATCGGTAAGCAACATTGTTTAGCAGAGTCAGAGAGAATCAGGGAGAAAGATAAAGGACTATGCAGTTTGCTCTTCATCTTCACATTTTGTTGCTATAAAACCCTAACCTCCTCGCAGATACTCCTGTTAATCCAAGAGCACACTGGTTAAAATAAAACCCAGAAACAGGAGATACTTATTGAATGTGCATGGGCTCACCCCCTTTCATTCCAGTATGGAATGGGAGTACGAGGAGAAATAGTCTGCTTAGAATGGTCATGGCCCAGGAAGAGGCCCTGAGGTTGTCCTTCCCAACTTAGGAATCTGGTTCAGAAAAGAGGAAAAAATGATGACAATATCTCATTAGACAAAACTCAGTGATGGGGTCTCTGACAGTCACCAGCCAGCAGGGTAAAGGAGAAACCCGCCTGCTGGCTTTAGGATTTGTTGAAGGCTGCCAGCACAGCCCAGATCATCTCTGTGGCATTGTGCTTTGTCCCTTCTACTTCGGGGTCCAGTTCTACTAGGTCCTTGGTTCGATTCATTGCCACATCATACTTGTCATCTGTCAGACAGGAGAAGACATTCTCTAGCACATCGGAGGAGTGGGCCAGCACCAGGAGTGCCAGTGTTCGCCTGTCCATGCGCTGAGGGTCATTTACCCACCGTTCTAGCACACTGTCTTGAAGCTTTTTCACTAGTCGCTGTTTCTCTGTTGTATTGGTTACTGGATGAGTGGTCATATCAAACAGCAGGAAATTCTGCTTCTCTGTGGTTAGAATACCCTTCTCTACTAGATTTTTGGCAATTCGCTCTCGCACATTTCTCAGCTGGTACTGTAATTTGAAGGGGTTCCATGTCTCACCTTTAGAAAACAGACAGAAGAAAACCATTTTTTTGTTGTTGTTGGACACAGGGTTTCCCTGTAAAACAGTTCTGACTGTCCTGAAACTTACTCTGTAGGTTACTTGAACCTTGTTTAAAAAATTTAAAAGCATGATCTCCATCCATGGGGGAACAATGTCAATTCTTTTTTAAACCATTCTTTGTGCTTTATGTGTTAATTTAGACTCCAACTATATTTTACATTAATCAACCCTCAAAAATTGTCCTCACACATACACGAATGCACAGATACATATATCTGCATGCATTCATATGTGTACTGACATGTGTACACATATTATGTGTTTCCATGCTAGTGCTTAAGGGGTAAATAGTTTTACACTGATTTATTATTTAGCATACATGAAAGCATGTGCTATGGTACTAGTTTAGCTCCTCCCACCTTGTAGCTTCTATGGATCAAACTGAGGTTGTGAAATTTGGCAGCAAGTACCTTAAGATAAAACCATCTCAACAGTCTTTCAGATTTTTTTATATTTGTCACTAAGATTTTTTTGTTGTTGCTGGGCGGTGGTGGTACACTCCTTTAATCCCAGCACTTAGGAGGCAGAGGCAGGAGGATGCGGCAGTTTTTCTTTGCAGATGTCTGAGTTGGAGGCCAGCCTGGTCTACAGAGTGAGTTCCAGGACAGTCAGGACTGTTTGTTACACAGAGAAACCCTGTGTTCAAAAACCAAAAACAAAAAAAAATCTGTTGTTATTTGTATTTCTGTATGTATGCAGGTGTCCACAGAGGCCAAAAGAGGGTGTTGAATATCTATCCTGGAGCTGTAATTACAGGTTGTTGTGAGTCACCTGATACAGGTGCTGGGAACTAAATCAGGTCCTCTGCATGAGCAGAAAAGCACTCTTAACAATTGAGCTATCTTTCTGGCCCCTTATTTCACTTCATATCTGGTTTCTCTGTGATATTGTTAATCATTATTGGATTTGTGTGTGTGTGTGTGTGTGTGTGTGTGTGTGTGTGTGTGTGTGTGTGTGTGTGAACATGGACGTCAGAGAACAGCTTCGGGTGTCACTCAGCCCTACCTAACCCCCTTTCTTTCAGACAGGGTCTCTCAGGTGCCTCGAGCTTGCCACGTAGACTGGGCTGGCTGGTCATGAAGCTAGCCTCCTCACTCGGATCATAAATGTAGACATTTTGCCTAGATTATCCACCTGCTGGGTTCTGGGGACCAGACTCATGTTCTTATGCTTGCAATACAAGCTGTTTACTGATTGGGCTTAGCTCTCTCCAGCCCCTATTCTTGGTTTTTGTTTGTTTGTTTTCCATTCTCTTCAAGACACCAGTCTTTCTGGATGACTTCTCTTCCATATCAAATGTGTTCTATTTGGGATGGTAGAACTGAAAAGACTGCTTCAGCAGCACATATGCTAAATTGGAATGATATAGAGAAGATTAGCATGGCCTCTGAGCAAGGGTAACACGCAAATTCATGAAGCATTCCATATTTAAAAATAACATAATTGAGAGGACTGAAGTCCCCTTCTTCTACTTATCAGGTGGAAGGCCTATCCAGGCATGGTGGGCTGGCAATATTGGGGCTCAAAATTGCCCCATTCTAGCTTTTTTGAAGAGTAGAGGTCTTAGACTAGAGGATGAGAGGCTGCCCCCTCCACTGCAAACAGAGCAAGAGGGTATCACACTAGGTGATAAGTGGACTAAGTAGGCTAACAGCCTGAAGGAAGGGTTCCACAGCTGTACCCGAGAAGTCCATTTGATCAACTGTAGAGAAGCCTAAATCTAAAGGTGCTACTGAAAACCATGGCATCTTGGTGCAGAACAACTGCCAGGATGCTGAGAGCAAATGTCAACTGACAGGGCCTCCTGGAATTTAACAGTAACCAGAGGAAAAAGCAGGAAACCCTGCTGGAATCATGGTCAGCCCTGTGGGTGCAAGAGTGTGTGCCTGTACTAGATGCACACCCTCAGGAGCAATTGGAACAGGATTTGGGGCTTGACTAGAGGATGTCACTGACACCACAGGGCTTTAAGCATAATCTCTGACAGAACACATAATAGTAAGCAGTAGTATGCATCCACCCTCCCCCAATATACTCCCAGACATAGCATTTCAGCATACACCTGATGGCTTTGATTTCCTTCTGTAGCTCAAGCTGACTTCAAACTATTGATTCTTCTGCCTCAGCTTCTCAAGTGCTAGGATTACAGGTGTGCATTCCCATGCCTAGATAATAGGTTGCTATAACTCTAAGAAGCTAGGCTTAAAATCGAATCATGCATCTTTGGTAGACTCTTCCCGGTTCTCCTGGAACGCTGGTTTTCCACACTGCAGAAGCTGTTTGACCTGGTAAAGCTGAGAAGACTGAGGTTGGCTTCCGTTGCTTAAAGGACAGAATCTAGAGTCCCAGTGTGGTAGGCTGGCAACATTGGGAACCTAATTGTCCCATTCTAACATTGAGGAGAAATTCTGCACTGGAAGGGGCAAACTGCTCATAATCAAGATGATAGTCTTCCTCAGAAGAAAACAGAAAAAGAATTTCCAAGCCACTAGCCCATATTCTTACATGGGGTAGGTAAAAAGGTAAACTTTCTAAATTATGATACCTTTGTTAAAATCACATAACACAATATTCAACAGTAAAAGGGTAAAAAAATTTTAATTAGTGGGGTTGGAGTCCAGCTCAGTAGCATGTGTGAGGCCTTAATATGAATTCCTAACACCAAAGAAAGAAAATAACATTTAATTGGGACAGATATGGTGGCCTATGCCTGAAATCCCAGCACTCAGGAGGCAGAGTAGGAACATGAAGACTTCAGGGTCATATTCAGCTAAACAATGAGTTTCAAGATCAGTCTAGGCTATATGAGACCCTGTCTCAGTAAACAACAATTAAACAACAATAAAACCTCAAAAAGTAGGGCTGTAGTTGAGAAAACTTGCTGCTCTTCCAGAGGACTTGGGTTTGGCTCCCAACACCCACAATGGCAGTTCACAACTGTCTGTAACTTCAGTTCCAGGGAATCTAATGCCCTCTTTTCACTTCCACAGGCTCTGAACACATGCAATGCACTAACATACATATAGGCAAACACTCATACACTTTAAACAAAACAAAACCAAACCAAACCAAACCAAACCAAACCAAAATGTACTTGGTTAAAAGGGATGCGGCAGTTACTCTTCATTGCTGACTAGACTTAGAATCCCAGGAGAGGGCTGGGCAGAAGGTACAGCAGGTAAAAAGTGCTTGCTGTGAGAGCCTGATGACCTGAGGCTGCTCTCTCCTTGGGTGGAAGCAGAGAGTCAATTCCTGGAAGCTGACCTCTCACCTCCTCATGAGTACCGTGTCATGTTAGCATATGCGCACACACCTCTGAGAGGGCTCAGTGGGTCAGGGTACTTGCTGCCAAGCTTGACAGTCTATGGACTCTGACCTGAATAGTGGAAGAAAACTGAGTCCTATCAGTTGCCTCCGACCTCTAGATGTGTATTGTGGCACATGCTGTGCACACCCCACACACCAACTATATAAATAAAAATTTAGTAATAATAAAAAGGAATTGCCTAGAAGGCACACCTCTGGCATGTATGTAAGGGCATATCCAAGAGGTTGAGCTGAGAAGGAGATATCCAACCTAGACATTGGATGTGTACCTAGACTAAGTAAAAGCAGACGAAGGAAAGCCTTTTGAGGACCAGCATTCATCTCTCTGCTTCCCACTTCCAATGCTACGCCTCCCCTCCTAGGACGGACAGTATTATACTGTCAAAACATGCACCAAAATTAATTATCCTCTCTTAAATTGCTTCTTGCCAAACCTTTGACTAACAAGTGGCTTATTCTAATTCTTAAGACTTAAAGGTAAGACTAAATGTGTGTGTGTGTGTGTGTGTGTGTGTGTGTGAGAGAGAGAGAGAGAGAGAGAGAGAGAGAGAGAGAGAGAGAGAGAGAGAGAGCACGAACACTAGAGACATGCTTTCTTTAGCAGTTAGGAATACATACAGTTCTTATAGAGGATACCAGCACCTATGTCAAGTGGCTCATGACTGCCTATAATGACAGCTACTATGGGGCTGGGGAGTCTTATACTCTCTGTTGGCCTTTGTAGGCATCGGCACTCACATGAACGTTTCCACATATAGACACAGACTCTTAATTAAAATAAAAATTAGAAAAAAATCTCAACAGTGATATCAGAAGCTGTATAACCATACGGAAATTCTGGAGTTTGAGAGAGAGAAAAAAGCAAAATAAAAAATTTACTTAATAGGTCAACAACAAATTTGAGCTAGCAAAAGAATCAACAATCTTTGAGACAGCAGAGATTATGCAGTTTGAGCTGGGAATTGAGAAGAATGTCTGTAACTCCAGCTCCTGGACAGGAGAATCAGGAGTTCATGGTTATCTCCTGCTACAGAGTAAGTCTGAGGCCACTCAAGGCTATGTGAAATCCTGTTTAACAATACAAAATGAGATTATGTAGTCTAAAGAGAGCCTCCAAGAAATGTGGCGTACTCTCAGGACAGACACGTGTAAAAAGTACAGAAAGGGAGAGAAAAAAAAAAAGGCAGGATAATAAATCCTATATTTCTTTCTTTCTTTTTTTTTTTTTTTTTTTACGAGACAGGGTTTCTCTGTATTGCTTTGGAGGCTGTCGGTCCAGCCCAGCCTCGAACTCACAGAGATCCGCCTGCCTCTGCCTCCCGAGTGCTGGGATTAAAGGCGTGCGCCACCACCACCCGGCTAAATCCTATATTTCATGAAAAACACTTGCCTACACATTTTGAGCTCAATAAACCCCACACAGGATACATGTAGAGAGAAAGGAAAAATATGTAATTTAATGCCAGGCAATCTTAGAAGGCCGCCTGAGAAAATGACTTGTCACATCAGAGCTGCAGTGACATCAACAGCTGACTTAGAGTAAGAAGAAATGGAGCCCACAAAAGTAAAATGATTAGTTCAAAGCTCTGACTGACAAAACTGTCCAACAAGAGCCTTCTTTTCCTTTTTCTTTTTTTTTTTGAGACAGCATTTCTTTGTGTAGTTCAATCACATAGGCCAGATGGTAACACGGGAGAACCAACTCCTCAGAGTGGTCACCTAATCTTCACATATGCACTATGGTGGTGGGGGTGGGGAAGGGGCATGTACATGCATAAAAAACATAGCAAGACAGGGTTTCTCTGTGTAACAGCCCTTGGCTGTCCTGGAACTCACTTTGATCAAGCTGGCCTCCAACTCACAGAGATCTGTCTGCCTCTGCCTCCTGAGTGCTGGGATTAAAGGCATGCATCACCATGCCCAGCTGAAAAAAAATTTTACATTGTTCACAGATGTTCACAGTAGCCTTGCTCCCAATAGCCAAAAAGTAAAGTAACTGAAATATCCATCCGCTAAATGGCCAAACAAATGTGATACATAAATTCATAAAATATTAGTTGTAAAAACAGCTAATTTTGGGGGATTCAAGATAGAAAGATTTTTATCTATGTCAATGTACTGGTTGTCCTCTCAACAAATATTATGATTATTATTATTTTGAGATAGGGTTTCACTATGAACACCAGGCTGATCTTGAACCTCTTTGCCTTAGTCTCTCAAATAGTGGGATTATGAGTCTTTTATATTACAGCTGGCTTAACTGTAAATAAAAAATAGTGTGTGTGTGTGTGTGCATTCTCGAGTGAGTGCAAGAACACACACACACACTCTCATGATCATGTGCATTCCCAAAGAAGGCATCAGATTCTTTGGAGCTAGAGTTACAGGGGTTGCAAGATGTCAGTCATGGGTTCAGGAACTGAACCTGCATCCTCTTTGAGAGTAGTACTCATTCTAACCATTGAACCATCTCTCCAGATTCCAGTTTTTTTTGTTGTTGTTGTTGTTGTTTTGTTTTTGAGACAGGGTTTCTCTATGGCTTTGGAGGCTGTCCTGGAACTAGCTCTTGTAGACCAGGCTGGCCCTCCAACTCACAGAGATCCGCCTACCTCTGCCTCCCAAGTGCTGGGAGTAAAGGCGTACGCCACCAATGCCCGGCCAAAGATTTATTTATTTATTACGTATACAGTGTTCTGTCTGCTTGTATGCATGCAGGCCAGAAGAGGGCACCAGATCTCTTACAGATGGTTGTGAGCCACCATATGGTTGCTGGGAATTGAACTCAGGACCTCTGGAAGAGCAGCCAGTGCTCTTAATCTCTGAGCCATGTCTCCAGTTAGACTCCAGTTTTTACCCTAGTTTTATACGCACATGCTTTATTGGGGAGGATGTTTGGGATTGAACTCTCCCCCCTCTTTTTTCTTGGTGTTTTTGAGATAGTGTTTCCAAATGTAGCCTAGACTGGCCTTGAACTATCAGGAATTCTGCCTTAGTCTCAGAGGTGCTTGGATTAGAGAGGTGTACACCACCATTCCTGGCTAATAAAGTTTTTTTTTAAAGTTAAATAAACTTTAATGTTTCTTTTTTAAAAAGGGGCTGGTGAGG